GCAATAATGGTAGTCAGTCAATATTCGGTTCAGCAAAATGGTTAACAAAACAGTTTTAATGACTTTAATATAGTCATGAGTCTAAGAAAAACATGACTAGCATGCATGCCAATAGCAGCATTACAATACGAGAAAACAGGTTTGTTTTTATTGCATTTTATAGAATTCAGCCTTTTCCCGTGAAATACGGGATAGCTGTATCGCCGCCATTAATGATTCCGTTGCTATGAATCGGCCTTACCGTAAACGAAAGCCACCTTTCTTTATTTTAAAAGGTCACAACTTCCTTTTCGTCCGAAAACAATTGTACTTCGATTTACGTTCACGCCCGATAGTTGTTGTTTTATAAAATGCGTTGCATTACAAATTCGGGAAAAGTAACACATACACTTCATGTGTAAATAATTGATCTTTCGTCTAGCAGTTCATTTGATCAGAACACATACCAACCGGTAAAAAGCGAATCGATATAGCGAACGCGAAATGCAAACTTTATTTGATTGGGGGAAGTCTGACTAATACGGATTTGTCTATGTAGACTACACTATACAGGCGCATCAATTCAAATCACTAGTGTAGTCTACATAGACAAATCCGTATTAGTCAGACTTCCGCCAATCGCTAAATCCATTCCCTTTTTATCTGTAACCGTATTTTGCGCACAGACAAACCAAACAGACAGACAACTATCTCGTAAGACTCTGACAAAAGTTAAGGGAATAAAATAAACAGAATTAGGTCTTATAGCATTCCTATTACAAGTAAAAACTAGACTCCTGATAACCGAGGGAATGTTAGAAAACCTTATTCCAATTTAATAACATTATTAAAAAATTATATCTCTTTTTTCTTTTCTGTTGTTGTTGTTGTTGTTGTTGCTGTTGTTGTTGCTGTTGTTGTTGTTGTTACTGTTGTTGTTGTTGTTGTTGCTGCTGTTGCTGCTGCTGCGGGTATGGGTCTCCGCAGCAGAGCTGATACCAGTGGATCTGAAAGAGAAACATAGTGTACGAAAAGCAACATGAAAGAAAAGATATGAACTTACGACTGGCCGTCGTGGCTTCCGCGTTTGGTTGTGGTTCTTGATTTGNATCAACTTGTTGATATATTTTGGTTGTGGTTCTTGGGGATCCATCTGAAACAACAAAAATGAGAAATAAAGAATTACTATTATACTAGAATTTTATGAAAAATTTAAAAGAAATGATCCAGTTTCTGTTGTATAGTCTGGTTATTTATACGTTTTCAAACAGATGAATCTAGAAAAAGAGAAGAAGAGATTCTCTCTCTATCTCTATTACAGACAAAGAAACTACAAACTTGAATTTCAGAAAATGGTTCAAAAAATGAAAAAGCGCTGTTAAATTCGTCAGTTAATCATTAATTTTAGTCACAGCTCTTTCTTCATCACAGAAAAAAAAAAAATTTTCAGACTCTTATGACTATACATGCACAATGCAAATATGATCATGTAGTCCGTGTCTTTATGTGTCCATGTCTTTTATATGTATAGTATACGACTCTTTTGATATTTAATCATTCTTGGTGTTCTAGTTCACAAAGAATATCTCGTACGGAATACATGACCTAAAAATAAACGTGAATGTGTTTCTACCTACCTATCACTCCAAAACTTAGTTGTTAAATGACAAATAGAAAAAAAAGAATGATATTGTTAAACAGTAAGTTATGTTCCGGACATGAAACTAAAGGAAGATTTTGAAATCCTAATTTTTCAGCCTCTCAACGTAATTGAAAGCACTTTCAAGAATATGTTTTGTAAAGCAAATATTTCTGCACATTCTGAACTGAATGTGAGAGCGAAAAATATTTTTCTTATATTGATTCTAGGATAAAGTATGAAAAGTATGTACTATTTAGATTTAAAGTACAAGTTTCGTGAGAATGATAAACTTAAAGAATCGACATCATTCTTCAAATAAGAGTTCAAACGATTCTTTAGCAGATCCCTTTCATTCGAGTGTATTCATTAATTATCTTTTTGTTTTACCGAAGAAAAATATATTTAATATAATAGTAAGGATAAGTTTTGTCTACAAGATGTGTGTGTAATTGAGAAAACACTGAGTAACTATCAAGATTGAAAGAATTGTTCTAAATTTCAATAATATAATGAGAGAATATATATTGTGACTATATTATCCACAGTGTCCAGGATTCTTCTCATCATGAAACGGATACCAATAACTTCATTGAAGCGTAAAAATATAATATTCTCTTTTTTATTAGTCAATTGTTACATTAACAAGAGGTTAGAGGAAGAATTAGTAAACAGTTGAATATCGTTAAAACGTTTTGTTTAATAGGTGACTTGCACGAAATTTATATTTTTCATACTTCATCATCAACAAAATATTTTCTGCAACCCTCTGGGTTTTGGCTTAAGGACGTGCTGATTCTAACGGCATACTCAGTTTTGTCACACGACCTTACTGTGTAGTTGGGTAAAAAACCACCGTTTTTTGGGAACCCTCATTTTACAAAAATTCTATATTTCTGTAAACACTCATTGTTTAGATTTAATTTTTCTACTATTAAATACAGCATTCAATACTCCATCATACTAGTGTAAAGAATTCCACAATTAAATAGAGCTTGAAAAATTCTATGTTGCTACGGGCCTGCCAACCTTTCAACTTTTTCTAGGTACAGCATTGATAAATATAGGTAGTCGTGTATAACTCTCTAAGTATGTAACAAGAATCTTGAACAAATTTCTTTCAAAGCTCATGTTGCAAAGTATCAGGCAAACCACATTGAGAGGAGTTTTCTACCACGAATAAGGCCTCCGGCGTCAGAAAAGGCGATGTTGGTCAAAAACTCCGATTTTGATAAAATACATGGACTGAGAAAGGGTATTTTTATATTCCTGCCCTGCTGACTAGCATAGATAATCTTCTATAATTGAATTTCTTCCTGTTGCCATTTGTTTGTGATTTGTTCCTTTCTAAATACTTGTTTTCTCTCAAAAGTTTTTGCCAAGAATTATCCAAACAAAAACAATCCAAGGTACACGCATCAACACGAACTTTGTTATCGTACAAAATGTGTTAATTTAATCGAAAGTTCGTTATTATTTCCACACAATGATCTGTTCCATAAATGTTTCAACTAAGCAATGTTCATATTCAGCAAATATTTTGTACATGGTCAGTAAAAGATCGGTGTTATCGTATAGCAAAAACTGAATAGTGTATAATTTTTTCATTTTCATTATAGTTTGACAAAACAATCGAATACATTCATCGCTTGAAGAATTCTCGATGTTCACGTCTATCTCGATCGTTAAAGCGTGGATATTTTGAAAGTAGTTTGTTAGAAGATTGTTCACATCTACTAATCGATGAACACCAAACAAAGTCAATTGGATAACGTTGTTCAATGTGTTTCTTATTATGCTAAGTGAAGCAGTATCTTTGACATCGATGTGAAAATATTTAGCATCAATGAATAAATGTTGTAGATTCGTCGTCAATAGTAAGATTTGATCAAAGTACAATATGTCTTGTGCGATGTATAACCTTTTGACACACTTTAGTGTTGAATTCACGGGAAACGATTTACCTCTTTGAACATTTTTACATTTACCACCAATAGTAAGCCTATTCACATTTGGGAAGTTTCTTATTAGAAATTGAGAAATGTAAGTGAAGGATGTTACATGAGGACATGACCAACAAACTTCTAATTTTTTGACATTCGAGTAATCGTGCTGATCATCATAGGATACATTTGGCCTATATAAATTGAATCCCCCCAGCATATCAGTGTCTAACCATGGTAATGTATAAATCGTACACACGTTACCTAGTTCGTCTATATTCAAACAGATATTCCACTTCATTCTAGTACCAAAAAATGATCTTTCTATTGCTATTCGATCAGACGGCACTTCCAACGGGAATATAATCTGAAAAGATAACTCTTTCAAATTTGTAAGATTCGATAACATTTGATCAATTCTATGACCAGAAATCCGTGACGATAAATCACTTCTAATGTAAAAAATACTTAATTTGTTTAAATATATGAGATTTTTAATAATCTTCTCAAATATTTTATAATCAATATTTGAACCACCGTAAGTTTTTAAAGTAAAATCTCTTAATTGTAGTAATTTCAATGGTAGACTCTAAATGGAACATAAAACCTTGTCATCGCAGATATGAATATATGGTCTGAACTATAACTTATATAAGTTCGAATGAAAAACTAATCTTCTGAAAAGGTATAATGTCATCTTTACTTTGCCAAAAACAGGATGACAGCTTTGGTCTAATTCTTGTTATCTCTTATTAGCTGACTTTTTCCTTCTGCAATTTCCATGAGAAATTCATTGGTTGTAGGTAGACAAAATATATCAACAAGTTGATGATGATTAGTAGTAAGAAGAAAACTTACGTCGAAATCATATGTCCCATTAACTATATCTTCACCAACATCAATATTCATAAATGGTTTGTTCGTGGAAATATCCAAATACTGTAAGGATGGAAAATGATCAAATATAATTATAATATCACTATGATGGCTAAGACCAATTGTTAAATGTTGAATATGATCGTTTTTCGTCAATACTTCACTCGATTTCAGTAGTAAACCCAGCCTGTGCAAAGTGCAATTGCATTTTTTTAATGACGTCTTCGTTCTCTTAAATAATATATGTTCCCGAAAAAGCGATGAAACTTGCTGGAGTTCATTGTTATAATTTTCCACATTTAGGCAATATATTAAACATGTACCCAGTTCAATCGCTAATTCGTATAAATTAGGAAAATATTTTGAATAGGATTTTTCGAAAAATAGAGACACATCAGACACATTGTTGATAAATAATAATCTTAAACATTTGACATTATCAAACTGAGAAAACATATTAAGTGAATTAAAATGTTTCAGTTGTAGACAGGCAAATCTTTCGTCGATGGTTAAAGTTTCGACCGCTGTACCGATTTTGTTCAATAACTTAGAATCACAAATCCATTGGAAAAGTTTCACATTAACATCAAACAAATTTATATTTGAGAAATACTTTCTTTCCAATAATATGCTACCTAAACGTTGAGTAACTTCGAACAGTGACTGAAGTACTTCACCTGACTTTAAATAGTGGCAGATCTCGATTAAACATAAATCAGGTAAATCGTTAAACGAAGTCATCTATATAGTCAGCAAAACCGCAAGTTTTTGTCTCTTTTCTAACAAAAGTTATTCAGAAAACAACTGAGTACGTTGTATTTCGAAACGGATACTAGTGCAGGTCACCATCCAGGTCAGGTAACGATCGTGACTCACTCTCATGGCATCTCCCCCCCTCCCCCGACACCTCCACTTCGACACTTCGTGTGGTGAGGTATATGTTTAGAAAGATATGCATTGAATAAACTCTTCGAAAATAAACGTTATAAATTCAAAGTGTTAGTTAACATATGTGTTTTCTTATACTTATTTTCTTATTTCCCCTATTTTCTTAAATTCTTATTTTCCATATTTTTTAATCTCATTCTTTATTCCCCATATAACAACATGTGCAATAACATATCGTTATCTGCTAGGCGTTGCATTATCTAGACAATGATACTTGGACATCTATGTGGCGTTACGAATGAAGAGCACAAAAGTGTACTTTTCGATCCTAATTTTTGCTGTAACTGAGAAAACTCAATATTTCGAGCCCAAAGTTCCAGTATCAAAGGTAAGACACATTCTAAGAAAGTGTTATTAGGAATGGATGGTCTAGGACAAACATGAGTTTCTGACGTAGAAGACAGGTTTAGGAAACAGCTTATGATCTTTTTGGACGAAGCATAGTTCGTATCACAGTCGATAAAAAAACTGACATATATTTTGCAGCTATTTGAATACAGCAGTTCACAGTACCTATCAATTTGTCTTTGGACTTTTGACTAATATTAAAGTTACTAAAATTTCCTTTATTTCTTTCTGCTTCAGTAAAATTGAATCCACTGCATGAGATAATGTTGTTCGATTTATCATTATCTAAAGAAAAAAACAGAATCATAAGTAAAACTTCTGTATAAAAGATTTGTTATAATACACTACCGTCTATATGCAGTCGGTTCGGAGATATTCCCAATAGTCGAAACTGTAAAAATAGGAAATAATAAACAAAGTATACATGCAAAACAGCTTAATCATTGACATGTGAGACAGCAGAAATTATTGATCTACCTAACAGAAAAACAAGTCTTTAGCTATCCAACATGTTAGATTTTCTTATGTGTATAGTAGCCATCTGTTGCTGTCAAATATACATGCTCGAAGCCTAGAGTAGTTTCCATTCATGAGAAAGTCACATACCTACCGATTTATAATTGCTAACCATCTGTGCGGATTGACAACGAGGTAAAACAGCAGACAATGGACGCTGTCCATAATAACTATCTAAAGCAATGAATAAAAGAATCAAATATTCGACATTGGTCTTCTTAACTGTCCTACTTTGTGTACAAAACTTTAAAACAAACAATAAAATACATCAATTCATTAACTAAAGAACAAACGTGTTTCTTGTACAAATGAAAAAATAAGAGCTTTTCTTTCCAACATACAACAGGTAATACATGTTGTATGCCATAATGGCATACAATATCTCTAGAGTGTATTTTACGACAGGAGAGAGAACTATTTATTATCTTTTTGAAGCTTGAATTTAAAATCTTGTCCATTAATATTCAGAAAGTTCTTAGCTATCACTAACATACGCACTTGTTTTTGTTAAAGTTTGATAATTCCTAATAATTCGTAATGTTGAATTGCTTTGTCGATACAACCACGAGCTTGTAATAATTTTCAAACATAATGCATGTGTGATTGTTGAAGAAAAAGAGTGTACATGGCTACCAAGATGACTAAGCATTATTGATTTTCATATGACACTAAGAGACAAATTCTCTAAAGAAAAACAACAGTTTTCAGAATTCAAACGGTAGCAAACCACGCCTTACCTAAATACTCAAAGAAATTCGATAAATGAATACTGTTCAAATAAACAAATAAAGAACTTTTCGAGCTCTTTCTATATATACAAGACTATCCAAACAGTGTTTGTAATAAAAGAGTTTATCCGTCGAAACAGAGTGTACAACATCAGCTCGTTTCCAGTTCTAATTGTCTTTAACTTTGTGTCTAGAGACATCTTTTTCAGCTTCATAACCCTACCTTCAACGAAAGATGTCGAGTATGGTTCTCTTTAGTTTCCTGCAGTGTTTTAAATGAGAACTGTTTCATAATGCGACTCCACACTTTGCTTTGAATGTCAAAGTGGCTGCTAGTTTATTGTTACAAACAAAATGAAGTCGGGACAGAAGTTTTAAGAAACGTCTATTTGACTACAGTATAGCCGCAGTTCTCATCCTCTCACTTCCACAGATGCAACTAGTTCCATTCGAGTAAAGATGAAGAATAGAATATAAGACACCGAAAGTTTTTATGAAAGAGGAAATACCTTCACTCCTGCTGAGTAAAAACTGCTGCTATTACATCTTGTTGTCACTTAGCGTGTACGGAGGAGGAAGGCAATGAATGATTAAAAAGTGTATCCAACAGAATTTCTTGAATCTTTTTTATTGCCTAACGGTTAATAAACTTCCTACCACTATCCTACTCATTGTAATACTACTAGGGAAAAGATCAATCTCCGCAGAAGAACCTAACAGAAAATGACCCCTAAAAGTGTATATGTGCACGATGGATCTATGAAATACGTGTTCAATCTTTCTTTTCATTGGCGAATGGACAATGAAAGAAACAGAATGAAAACAATGACGCACATGTTCTTCTTTATTTGATGTATCAAGTACTGAGAGAAAGTGCTGTAGTTTTTCTGTAGTTTGATTAAAACTTTCGTATCATAAATATGGAGCTTATAATATATGAAAATGGTTTGATTTATTAAAATTCCAATCAAAGTAGATAAAATCTGATTACTTTCTTCCAGTACTTACTATATCAAATAAAGAAAAACATGTGCATCATCGTTTTCATTCAGTTTCTTTCATTGGCTCCTAGCCAATGGAGAAAGAAGATTGAACATGTATTTCATGGATCCTTATGCATGGCAAAATATATTTAGAGTTAAAAAGAAATTAATTTGCGAACTATTGAAACTCATCTATTAAAAGATAAAAAGGTCTTTGGACAGATCTAAAATCCGTACATTTTACAACGAGGCTGCTTTTTTTACATAGATTCTTTTAGGTTCTTCTACGGAGATTGATCTTTTCCCTAATGGTATTACAGTGAGCAGGGTGAGAGTGATAGTGGTAGGGAGCTTATCAATCGTTAGGCAATAAAAAGATTCAAGAATTTCTGTTGGATACACTTTTTAATCATGTATTACCTTCCTTTGTACTTGTACACAATGGTCACATGCTATATATGTCATACAGAACAGAAAAAGAACTTGATTCGTTAATACTTATATGTAATCATATATGTGAATGGAAGTGTCTGAAAAAGTAAGCCATAAGTAGAGGCCAATACCTTCCGCAGACAGAAAACAATATATAAACAAGTATCGTTCATCTTCGATTCACTGACCCTTGACTGAAAATGGGTTTTTAGCGATGATTTGGTGTTAGTATGCGCTTAGCTTTTTAAAGGGATGGAGAAACAGGAAATTTTTGTTTATTTAT